CATCTCAAATCAGTCATCTCAAATCAGTCATCTCAAATCAGTCATCTCAAATCAGTCATCTCAAATCAGTCATCTCAAATCAGTCAACACCCACGGCACCTGCTGGGTCTGTCCGGCGACCTCCTGCTCAGAGCGAGCCTTCACGTGGGGCCTCAAAAGTGCACCTAGCCTGGCACAATCGCCCCGGTGATGTCACCGTCACTTAATGTGGGCCGAATGGCGGTTGCTGTTGAGTGACAACGAAAACAACAACAACAACACACTTGGACTGGTAGTATATAGTATCATGTAGCCCTACCTACATTGTACAATGCACATACGACCCACAGAGTTGTAAAGACTGCACGGCAAACATCACCGACAGACCTCTGCTGTGTAAACATCACACAATGTTTACTCAACTACCCTGCTGCCATTGTAAAGCATACGGATATGCGAAGTGGACTGCAGCAGACACCCTAGGTATTGGTACCGTAGCATTTGACTATGAGCCAGGTGACCGACTGTACAATGTCTTAAGCGTATCTGTTGACCATAGGTATACAATGGAGTGAGTTTATAGTCTGTAGGCGTTAAAGCTTCGCAGAGCATGCCGTAGGTAAAATACCACCACTACTATAATACCAAAAATAAATACCACCACTACTAAAAAAACACCACTACTAAAATACCACTACTATAGGCGTGCACTCGACTTTGTCACACATTACCAAAGGTGCATATGATATGATCGACACTCTAACCCCTATAACCACGTAGTGGTCATACATCCACATTGCTGCAACACGGAATGTCCCGATGATCGATGTCCCGCTAACCCTGGGACTTGGATTCACCACGCCCGGCCGCCTTTGTCTCCCCAGTGGCGATGTTCACACACCACACACCAGTTACTCTCGTTTGAGGCCGAGTCGACCTAGGGGAGGACCAGGACCGGTTCAGATCATCGTCAGCGGCGGTGATCGTGAGCGGGATTCGAACTCGGGTCACCGGGTTCGTAGCGCAGCGCGCTAACCGCTGCACCACCGCTCCCCACACACACACACAGGATAAAGACAAAGATCCCCCGTGTAGCCTGTGAGACTGTAGGGGCAAGTGCTGTTAACGAGCACCTATGAAGGCCGGCACGGCACACGATGGGGTGGGTGGCCAGCACCACGCCCGGCCGCCTTTGTCTTCCCATACGAATATAAAATCTAGCAGCATTGTGCCTCTGCAAGGTTGTGTGCTTCCAATCACCTTTGGGAGCATATTCCCTTTGAGAGAAATACGAATTCAATTGGGGTGCTGGGTAGGCTATGAATGGATCGCCCTGTACTGAAACGTGAAAAATGTGAACAAAACCGCATTGGCTTACACGTGTGCTGTTACGTAAACAACAAGCAGGGGTCCCCACATCATATTTTGTGTTTTTTTTTGGGGGGGGGGGGGGGTTAATCGCGTGTAAAAATATAAATGTGTCGTTAAACCCGCCACCACGCGGCACAGACAATTAGTGAGGTTTGTTGCAGAGAAAATCTCACAACATTTTAAATGTTGTGGGTGTTTGAAATCCACAACGTTTACATTTGCAATGTTCGATTTAAAGCTTTCGTGACTGCAGGGATTCATCTTCTTGGTTCTTTCGGTAAAGTCACGTAGAAGGGAAATAATAAAATAATAAAAATTAAAACATACAAAATAATGTTTTATTACTACTAATAAAATAATAAATATACAACATAATACAATTAATGTATTATGTAAAAATTTTATTCTTTTATTATTTCCCTTCTACGTGACTTTACCAAAAGAACCAAGAAGATTTGCAATGTTGTGAAATTTGCTCTCCAACAAACCTCACTAATTGGCTGTGCCGGGTGGTGGCGGGTTCAACGACAGTCATATTTACACGATCTAAACCCCCCAAAAAAAACAATATCATGGCTATTGTTCGCGAAAGCCTACGTGTTTAACACTAAGGGTATAAAGTACATTATTTATGTAATAATTGTGTATACAGCCTGTTTCACCATCACCAGCCGTGATTTATCCACTGATGGATACCAATGTAGGCTCTATGTATACAAATGGCACTTTACACGTGCAGAAATATAGTACTGCATCGAGACATAGGACTGAAAGTATTCTTACACGTATAGCACAATCATTTACAGATTCACTTCACATGTGTAAACACATACGGTGGTGTACGTTAATACAAACCTATGCTCTGGGGGGGATGTGGGGGTATTATACTAGCATATACATTACAGGTTAACATACTTTTACTGTAGTATATATGTACACCACGCAAGTCTTTGATATTATCGTCATACCGTATACACAAAGGCTGACAGTGTATCTATCTATTTTTTTAAATCCTTTATATTAAGTTCACTTGCTTGCTTGCTTATGACCGTGCAAATCTTTCGGTCGTTTTTTAACCCACTTCCCGTGATCCAATCGAGCTGACATTTTCCACACAGACTCGTTGTGCGTGACAATTTATTTTCGTGAAAATTTTTTTCCAAAATTTTCCACTTTTTAGGAAAAATTTAATTTTATTTAATTACCAATTGCTTAATGGTGGCAGGCAATCATCTGACCCATAGGTGGCAGCCATCTCAAGCCAGAGGAGGAGAGGACTCTAGCCGCCACGCATATAAAGGATTTATAGTGAAAAACTTTGTTTTTACGGGTTAATTTTTTCACCTGAAGACGGTTGCTTGGGTTACGATCGAAACGTCGTGATCTATGTTTTCTACCTACGTGACTTTACCGAAAGTATCACAGAGTACACACAGTACCATTATTACGCACAGATATATTACATTATTGTGCTTATCTGGATTTTTACAGAGGCACAGGATGTAATAAACACACACACAGGTACACCCTGGATTATGATGGAGATCACAGCACACGAACGTACCCATAATTGTTGCTATAACAACACATACTTGTTCTTGTGTATACACGTGCACACACCATATCATTGCTATAGATTGTTAGCACTTGTAAACAATGTACAGGGTAGAACCAACTCTATACCAGATAATAATCAAGGTGTGTATACTGCCAGGGACAGCTGTTGTACCCGTGTCTCTGTGTCTGTGAATACTGAAAGGCTGTGTGAACACGTGTACACACACACAGCACCCCACACTACAGCATACACACAGAATACAAACAGCCTTGTAAGAGAACCACACTTCATAGATTCCATAGGTGTATGTACTAAGCTCACCAGAGTATAGGGACAGCTGTTGTATCCGTGTCTCTGTGTCTGTGAATACTGAAAAGCTGTGTGTGAACACGTCTACACAGCACCTCACACTACAGCACACACACAGAATACAAACCGCCTTGTAAGAGAACCACACTTCATAGACTCCATAGGTGTATGTACTAAGCTCACCAGAGTACAGGGACAGCTGTTGTATCAGGGCTGTGTGTGAACACGTGTACACACACACAGCACCCACAATACAGCATACACACAGAATACAAACAGCCTTGTAAGAGAGCCACACTTCATAGATTCCATAGGTGTATGTACTAAGCTCACCCGAGTACAGGAACAGCTGTTGTATCCGTGTCTCTGTGTCTGTGAATACTAAAAGGCTGTGTGTGAACACGTGTACACTACAGTACACACACTACAGCGCACACACAGAACACAAACAGCCTTGTAAGAGAACCACACTTCATAGACTCCATAGGTGTATATACTGCCAAGCTCAGCAGATAACAAGAACAGCTGTTGTATCAGGGCTGTGTGTAAACACGTGTACACACACACAGCACCCCACACTACAGCATACACACAGAACACAAACAGCCTTGTGTATGTTGTGTACAGCCAGGCTCACTCAGAGCTGTTGGTAGCCCGTGTCTCTGTGTCTGTAGGAGGCTGCTGCCTATAGCACCTCGCTACAGCGTGTACACACAGCTATGCCAGGTGGAGGTGTGTGTAGGTGTGTCTATACGTGTGTGTGTGTGTAGGTGTGTGTCTATACGTGTGTAGGTGTGTGTAGGTGTGTGTGTGTGTATGTGTGGGGAGCGGTGGTGTAGCGGTTAGCGCGCTGCGCTATGAACCCGGCGACCCGGGTTCGATTCCCGCTCATGGCCAACACCAGTGACGATTATCTGAACCGGTCCTGGTCCTCCCCTAGGTCGACTCAGCCTGAAATGAGTACCTGGTGCGGTGTGTAAACATCGCCACTGGGGAGACAAAGGCGGTCGGGCGTGGCGATGGCCGGCATTTATAGGTGCTCGCTCACCGCACTTGCCCCTACAGTCTGTTAAGGCTATATGGGGGATCTTTGTAGGGGAGTAGGTGTAGGTGTGTTTAGGTGTGTGTAAGTGGCGGTGTGTGTTGGTGTGTGTGTAGGAGAGTGAGTGTGTGTAGGTGAGTGAGTGTGTGTAGGTGTTGTTGGTGTGCGTGTGTAAGTGTTGGTATGTGTGTAGGTGAGTGAGTGTGTGTAGGTGTTGTTGGTGTGCGTGTGTAAGTGTTGGTGTGTGTGTAGGTGAGTGAGTGTGTGTAGGTGTTGTTGGTGTGTGTGTAGGTGTGTTGGTGTGTGTAGGTGTGTTGGTGTGTGTAAGTGTTGGTGTGTGTGTGTAAGTGTTGGTGTGTGTGTAAGTGTTGGTGTGTGTGTAAGTGTTGGTGTGTGTAAGTGTGTGTTTAGGTGTAGGTGTGTGTAGGTGTTGGTGTGTGTGGGTGTGTGTCGGTGTGTGTGTAGGTGTTGGTGTGTGTGTAAGTGTCAGTGAGTGTAGGTGTGTGTAGGTGTAGGTGTGTGTGTGTGTGTGTAGGTGTGTATAGGTGTGTAAGTGTAGGTGTGTGTGTATAGGTGTGTAAGTGTAGGTGTGTGTAGGTGTAGGTGTGTGTGTAGGTGTATGTGTGTAAGTGTAGGTGTGTGTGTGTATAGGTGTGTAGGTGTGGAAGTGTAGGTGTGTAAGTGTGTGTGTAGGTGTATGTGTGTAAGTGTAGGTGTTAGTGTGAGTGGTTCTCGGCTCACCACACGGTGCCAGGGGTCCAGCTGGGTCGAGTATCCGCGTCTCCCCCGGTGCCTTGACGCCTTCTGCTGCTGCTGCCGCCTCCTCTTGCGGAGCTCTCAAAGTAACTTTCCTGCAGGGACTCGCGACGCCTCTTCACCGCCACGCGCCACCAACGGCGGAGGGAGGGGGGTGGTGGGTGGGGGCTGTGCCGGCGGGTCACTCCCGCGGAGGGATACAACAACACGGAGGCTCCGCCCACACTTCACAACGTGCGCGCGCACGTGCGCGCACGCGCCCCCTGCCTGCACCGACGACGCATTAACCCTAGTGGTGAAGTATGGTCACATTTAGATTTGAAGCTTTCGTGACCGCAGGGATTCCATACTCGTTGGTTCTTTACCGAAAGAAACAAAGGGTATGGCCAGCAAACACGCCCGGCCGCCTTTGTCTCCCCGGTGGTGTTGTTTACACAGCGCACCAGGTACTCATTTGAGGCTGAGTCGACCTAGGGGAGGGCCCAGGACCGGTTCAGATAATCGTCACCGGTGTTGGCCGTGAGCGGGAATCGAACCTTTCCTGTTGGCATTTAAGAGACGCGGTGGCGTTTAGGAGATTAATAAATACCGAGTCCTTATCCGCAACGTTCCACTCCATCAAAATAATATGGAACCTGGAGAACACGCACGCCAGCGATGTTTGTGTTGAGATTTGTATTATTTTATTTTATCAATTTACAGCCGTGATGTGTAAGAAGACGCATCGTGACGGCCGTTGCCGTCAGAGTGCTCAGCTGCAAAAAAAAATCAATTTGTTGTACTGTGCTTTCTATGCTCCCCGCCGTCACCAACCCGCGCCTGACCAGCATCCATCCAACAGTGGGCTGTACTTGCGCACATGCATTCGTGAAATGGGTCAAAAGTTGCAACAATTCACAAAAGGGGCCCTCGGCGTGAAAGCAACTCCTGTAGATGTATTACTATCCAGGGTTTGCCACCTGCAAGGGTTTGACCCGGACAGATCACGAATTGGCGTTTGCAGTGTTCGAGTGGCAGTAATTGATCAGTAGCGAGATCCAATCGCGATATTGTGTGGAACCTCATGACGGTTCAGCGTGGAGTAAACTGTACAGTTTTGACAGATCACAGGCTGACCGAAGAATATGTCTGAGGGTTTAGGGCTACAGTGGAAAATGTGGTAAAACATTCTTGCAAATGACGAAAGAAACATCATCATCACAGAAATAAAGTGCCGTCCCGAAAAAACCCCGTGAGTTGCGAAACACGTGCACAATAACACGTGTAAAAGGACCACTCAGCCTTCGAGAATGATGCAAATATTCACAAGAGGTGCATTGTGACCCTCGTATCTCAGTTCAGCATCAAGGTAATGCATTGAGGCAGCAGTGATGCACCGATCGACAACTGTAGGACTGGTTTAGCCCCAATTAGGACTCGTCAATGTGGAAAAACGTCACCGTCAGTGCGGCGTGGCAAGAGCAGCCCCAAGGGAAAAATGTGGGTCTCCCTTTGGCGCCACGGTGGCTAGGAGATGTTAACTACCTCGCCTGGAATACAGAAGGTCGTGGGTTCGATCCCGACCCTGACGCCTGCTGCTGTATATTTGGAGTTTGCGGTGTCTCTCATCATCATCACGGTGGCTAGGAGATGTTAACTCCCTCGCCTGGTATACAGAAGGTCGTGGGTTCGATCCCGACCCTGACGCCTGTTACTGTATATTTGGAGTTTTCGGTGTCTCTCATCATCATCACGGTGGCTAGGAGATGTTAACTCCCTCGCCTGGTATACAGAAGGTCGTGGGTTCGATCCCGACCCTGACGCCTGTTGCTGTATATTTGGAGTTTGCGGTGTCTCTCATCATCATCACGGTGGCTAGGAGATGTTAACTCCCTCGCCTGGTATACAGAAGGTCGTGGGTTCGATCCCGACCCTGACGCCTGTTGCTGTATATTTGGAGTTTTCGGTGTCTCTCATCATCATCACGGTGGCTAGGAGATGTTAACTACCTCGCCTGGTATACAGAAGGTCGTGGGTTCGATCACGACCCCGACCCTGACGCCTGCTGCTATATATTTGGAGATTGCGGTGTCTCTCTCATCATCACGGTGGCTAGGAGATGTTAACTCCCTCGCATGGTATACAGGACGTCATGGGTTCGATCCACGACCTTGACGCCTGCTGCTGTATATTTCGAGTTTGCGGTGTCGGATTTTTCTCCGGGCCCTCTGGTTTATTCCCTCCATCTTCTTGGTTCTTTCGGTAAAGTCACGTAGAAGGGAAGCAATAAAATAATAAAAATAAAACCTAATAAAATAATTCTCACGACGTTTCGGCCACAACACAAGCAACCGTGGCCGAAACGTCGTGAGAATTATTTTATTAGGTTTTATTTTTATTATTTTATTGCTTCCCTTCTACGTGACACTACCGAAAGAACCAAGAAGATGAATCCTTGCAGTCACGAAAGCTTTAAATCGAAATATTCTCTCCATATTTAGAATCAACATCACCCCGCGTTTAGAGTAATTGGCTGCTGTTATAAAATCCAACGTGATGATGATGATGATCAACTTCGTTGAGCTATCAGTTGTGATAGTCAGGTCGCTTCTGAAAAAGAATAACGATTTTAGCTCAAATTTCGATTTAAAGCTTTCGTGACTGCAGGGATTCATCTTCTTGGTTCTTTCGGTAAGGTCACGTAGAAGGGAAATAATAAAATAGTAAAAATATTATATTATTTTATTATGTTTTATTATTATTATTATTGTATTACTTCCCTTCTACGTGACTTTACCGAAAGAACCAAGAAGATTTTAGCTCAGTGAGGCCTTACTGGGGTAAAATATAACAACGTTGGTTATTTCTAGATTTGAAGTTTTCGTGACTGCAAGGATCCATACTCTTTGTTTTTTTCGGTAAAGTCACGTAGGTTCAAAAATAAAAATAAAACAAATACATTCAATCACGACGTTTCGAAGACGGAAGCTGACGTTGGTTATGCAATAGTTGCAGGTGAATAAACGTCGTCGTTTCGCAACGTGGATGATGCGTGAGGCTGCTGGAATGCCAGCCATGAGTCAATGAGACCGTGTGGACAAGTTCCCCCGTGAGTTGTTTACACTTTGCCAGCTCGACGTCTGCTGATGTCACACGACACGGACTCATTCGCATTTAGAATCGATGTCGCGCGTTTAGATTATTTGGCTTCTGCATGCTATAAATTCCCACGTGATGATGACGATGATGATGATAAGCCACTTGTTTAGCGTATCAGTTGTGGAAAAAAAATCTATAAAGCTCCGTGGTGCCTAATTTGGATAAAAAAAGAACAAAAAAATAGTTATATAGTCGTTACAGGTGAAGAAACGTCATCGTTACGCAACATTTACAATTCGAGAACGACGTTTCGCCTGCAATTACAACTGCCATCTGCAAGCGCCGCTTCTCGGTGGCAGCCCCAACAGTCTGGAACGATATCCCTCTGCACATTCGCAGCATCACCTCAATCGCCTCCTTCAATAGAGACTTAAAAACTCTAGATTTGAAGCTTTCGTGACTGCAAGGATTCATACTCTTAGTTTTTTTTCGGTAAAGTCACGTAGGTAAAAAATTTTAATTAATAAAAGTAAAATAAAACTAATTAAAAAATTCACGACGTTTCGGAATTAATAAAAGTAAAATAAAACAAATAAAAAAATTAACGACGACATACAGCTGTCGTGGCTGTGACGGTTCCAACTGAAGACGGATGCTTGTGTTGCTTCCGAAACGTCGTGAATTGTTTGATTTGTTTTATTTTACCTTTATTGATTTAAAAAATTTTACCTACGTGACTTTACCGAAAAAACCTAAGAGTACTTAAAAACTCACCTCTATAAGCACGTGCTTTCGAGCGATTCTGAGCTTGGCTCCGCGCCTCTGAGTTGCGGCCATTACATCCGCAAATTTGCGCGTGTTATAAATTGAACTATTATTATAATTAAGCGGCAGTCAGCTTTCGGTCGTTTTTTAACCCACTTCCCGTGATCCAATCGAGCTGACATTGTGCACACAGACTCGTTGTGCGAGACAATTAATGTTCGTGAAAAAATGTTTTCCAAAATTTTACACTGTTTAGGGAAAACAAATTAAATATTTAATTACCAATTGCTTAATACTGGCAGACAATCATCTGACCCATAGGTGGCAGCCATCTCAAGCCAGAGGACGAGAGGACTCTAGCCACCACGCATATAAAGGATTTATAGTGAAAAACTTTGTTTTTACGGGTTATACTTGTTTTCTCTCTCCGTCCTCCTCTATTGATCCCCTCCACGTTAAGGAATGCGCGCTTAGATGATTTGGCCGCTGCTGCTATAAATTCCCACGCGTGATGATAATGTCAGCCACGGCGATGAGCTTTCATCACGTGTGGCCAGGTCGCCTCCGGTCAAAGCGCTCGTAGCTCAGTGGATGAAATAGAAATACTGCGAATGAAATGTAATCATGGTTATGATCTTTTGATTGAAAGCTTTCGTGACTGCAGGGATTCATATTCTTGGTTCTTTCGGTAAAGTCACGTAGAAGGGAAATAATAAAATAATATAAATATATTTCTATTATTTTATATTAAAATAATAAAAAATATATTTATATTATTTTAATATAAATATATTTAGATTATTTTATTATTTCCCTTCTACGTGACTTTACCGAAAGAACCAAGAATATGGTTATGATCATTAATCATATTGATAACGGGTCAATGATGGGGGCGGGGGGGGGGCAATGTGGTGATTGTAATAATGGGGCAAAGTGGTGTCAGAGCACCATGAACACGGTGGTGTCAGCTTAATTACCAGCGACACATCAACGTACTCAAATTGTAAATGTTATGGGGATGAAGTAGTAAACTTATTGGCGCGTGTTGTTTACGTGACGAACCTTACTGGCTGTGTCAGGTGGTGGAGGGTTACGACACATTTATACTTACGCGATCTAGCCCAAAAGCCTTTATTATGGACGGTGATATCAGAACCCGTTATGATGATGCCCTCCCTCTCCAACATTCACTGACCACACTTCACCATCACGGTGCAGCGTAGCCGAACATTCCCCATGACCGCAATGGGTCGTGGGGAATCCATCATCCAAA